CGTTTGTCTATTCTCTCTCTAATACCCTGCCTTTATAGTCTTTCCCCCTATAATTTATATGACATACCTCTAATATTCTGTCACTATTCTTTCTATCTATCTATCTATCTATCTATCTATCTATCTATCTATCTATCTATCTATCATCTATCTATCTATCTATCTATCTATCTATCTATCTATCTCTATTTATCTCTAACTATCTATCTAGCCCTCTCTCTCTCTCTCTCTCTCTCTCTCTCTATCTATCTATCTAGCTCTATCTAGCTCTATCTAGCTCTACCTACCTACCTACCTCTATCTCATCTGTCTACCTCTCTATCCACTCACCTGTCCATCCATCGATCCATTCATAAGGCAGGAGGAATGTGTGAAGAGGGCATTTGTGGAGGAAAGTGGATGCCCCACACCTGGTTTGATTCCAAAACGGGCTTGAGGTTCCTTTCTTTTCTTTCGCTCTAAGTTGGGCTTGAGGGAACAGGGTCTGGAGCAGGGAAGTGGGACCACTGCCAAGCCCTTCCGGATGCTGTGCAAATATCACGCGAGCGGACGAGTCAGCCTGGATCGTTTTAACTTTGATTAAGCGCCTAGGGGACCCTGGTTGCAGAATTTTGTGAAACCCAGTTCCTCGAGCGAGTACAGGTAGTCCTCGTCTTACAGTAATTCATTTAGTGACCATTCAAAGTTACAAAGAAAGAGAGAAAGAAAAAAGGAAAGTAAGAAAGAAAGGGAGGAAGGAAGGAAGGAAGGAACAGAGGGAGCGAGGGAGCAAAGAAGGGATGAAGGGAAGGAGGAAAGGGAAGGGAGGAAGGGAAGAAGGAAGGAAGAAGCGAGGGAGAGAAGGGAAAGGGAGGGAGGAAAGAAAGAAGGGAGGAAGGAAAGAAGGAAGGGGAGGGAGGGAGGAAGAAGCGAGGGAGAGAATGGAAAAGGAGGAAGGAAAGAAAGAAGGGAGGAAGGAAGGGGAGAGAGGGAGGAAGAAGCGAGGGGGAGAATGGAAAGGGAGGGAGGAAAGAAAGAAGGGAGGAAGGAAGGAAGGAAAGAAGGGGAGGGAGGGAGGAAGAAGCGAGGGAGAGAGGGAAAGGGAGGAGGGAAAGAAGGAAGAGAGGGAAAGGAAGGGAGGGAGGGAGGGAAGAGAAAGATGGATTTTCTGCCTTGTCAAACCAAGAAAATTTTTACAATTGCATAGACCGACCTTCCTTCCTTCCTTCCTTCCTTCCTTCCTTCCTTCCTTCCTTCCTCCCTCCCTCCCTCCCTCCCTCCCTCCGCCTACTATTGCAACCCGTCTTGGCTTCTTTGCAGCCGAGGCAAGGCAAGGATGGCTGACTTTCCCACCATCCGTCCTCATCTGTATGGAGGCAGTTCCCATGGCAACGGCCAATCGGGGTGTGGGGGGGAATAGAGGATGCTGCCAGCCCAGGCCCAGCCAGCTGGGCAGGCTGGCTTCATGGATAGGTTTGGTGGGGAGGGGGGGGCAGGGGAGGGGGGGGATGCCCTGGGTTTACCACCCACAGGGAGGGAGTGCCCATTTTCTGCGTACCCACGACCACCTTCTGATTCCAAGGGGTGCGAGGGAGCCCCAATTTTGAAGGAAGATCCGGGTGGCATCACCCTTCATCATTTGTCAGACCTCTCCTGCCTCTTTGGGGGGGGGCAGCCCCTCTCCTGTGCTACAGGCTGATGGTCCTGGGTTCAAGTGTTGATGAACATTTCCCCACCCCCCCAAAAAATAATTTTCATTTGCAGTTTGAATCTTCTCTCTCTCTCTAAAAAGCAAAATACCGCTCACGCCTCATCACAAAATCTCCAGAACCTTTGAAAGTTACGACACTGAAAAAAGCGACTTACGACCGTTTTTCACACCTGTGACCCATAGCAGCATCCCCACAGAATGTCACCGGATTGACATTCAGATACCTGACGACTGACTCACGTTTACGACAGTCGCAGTGTCCTGGCGTCATGCGATCACTTTTTGTGAACTTCTGACAGGCAAAAAATCAATGGCCAGATTCACTTAACACGGGGGGGGGGGGAAGGAAAGTTGTAAAATGGGGCAAAAACTAGCAACCAGCTCGCTTAGCAGCAGAAGTTTTGGACTCGATGGTGGTCATAACTCGAGGACTGCCTATAATTATGCTGATCCAGTTCTACAGAGGAATGATGGAGTCTGTCATCTGCACCTCTACAACTGTCTGGTTCGGTTCTGCAACCCAACAGGAGAGACACAGACTCCAGAGAGGAATTAGGACCGCAGAAACAACAATTACTACCAACCTGCCTTCCATGGAGGAACTTTTATACTGCACGAGTCAAAAAGCGGGCTGTGAAAATATCTACAGACCCTTCACATCCTGGATATATAAACTGTTTCAACTCCTTCCCTCAAAACGACGCTATAGAGCCCTGCACACCAGAACAACTAGACACGAGGGGAGTTTTCCCCCGAACGCCATCGCTCTGCTAAACAAATAATTCCCTCAACACTGTCCAACTATTGACAAAGTCTGCACTACTATTACTATTAACCTTCTCATCACTCCTTTATCACCCATCCCCTCCCACTTGTGACTATGATTGCAATTTTATCGCTTGTGTCCTTACAATTTATATTGAGTGTTTCCTATTATGATTTGATTGTTTATTTGTACCCTATGACTATATTCTATTTACTATATAAGTCTATGACTCATTAAATGTTATACCTTATGATTCTTGACAAATGTATCTTCTCTTCTCTTCTTTATTTTATTCTATCCTATATTTTAAATTCTGTTCTATTCTTTATTCTATTCTATTCTGTTCTGTTTATTCTATTCTATATCCTATCCTATCCTATATTTTCTATTCTATTCTATTCTATTCTATTCTATTCTATTCTATTCTATTCCATTCCATTCCATTCCATTCCATTCCACTTCATTCTCTTCTCTTCTCTTCTCCCCTCTCTTCTCTTCCCTTCTTCTTTCTCTTCTGTGTAAGCCAGTCTGACCTGTCCCCTTGCTCCTTGCGGCAGGACTGATGGCCACGGCCGGAGAGCCCACGTGTGGCTGCCAGCGGGGTCCCAACATGGAGCAGGGCAAATGGTACGGCGTCCGTTCATACCTGCACCTGTTCTACGAGGACTGCACCGGCACCCATTCGGAGGACAATTTTGAAGAGGCTGCTACGTCTCCCACCAAGGGCGGACGGAGCTCCGTCTTCTGGAAGGTGAGAACTTCTCAACCAGGGGCCAGGCACTCCTGCTTTGTGGCACGTTCTCTGAGCACATACAGAGGGCCTTCCCACCACGTCCAGACTGCAGGTGGGGAGATTATTTTATTGATTACACAAGGACTACCTGTAAGCAGAATGGAATAGCAGAACATAGCAAAAATTCAAAACATTCAAATTCGGATAGCTCCAGTCAATAAATAAATAGAGCATGGAAGAGATTAGGTTTTTTAAAAATATATAACTTTACTCATTCAATATCCGTGCTTTGCTACAAAACTGTGTGGTCAGACTTAGTTTTTGGGGAGGAAAATAATATATTATTATCTTATATTAAATTTTGCTCCAAAAGACGCATTAGGGCTTATTTTCCGGTTAGGTCTTATTTTCAGGGAAATACGGTTCCAAAGGCATCCGTCTGGCTGACAATCTTAACTGGGGCTTATTTGGGGGGTAATTATAATACATAATATCTTATGAGAATCCTTAAAAAGAAAATCAATGCTAGGGCTTATTTTCCAGTCGGGGCTTATTTTCAGGGAAACAGGGTAGGGCTTTTGAGAAATTGGGGGTCCCAAGAGCTGATTTGCAGCCCCTTCCCCTGTCTGGTCAGGACACAACTGGGACCCACTTTGGTTAGCCTCTGGGGTGGCTCTGGCGCCATCTGCAGGCAAGGAGTGGATCTTAAGGTCAGTGTTTCACATCCTTGACCACTTTAAGACAAGTGGACTTCAACTCCCAGAATTCCTCAGCTGGAAATGTTTTTATATAGACTCTAGAAAAAGTACAGAGAAGAGCAACCAGGAGGATTAGGGGACTGGAGACTAAAACAAATGAAGAACGGTTGCAGGAACTGGGCCTGGCTAGTCTAGGGAAGAGAAGGACCAGGGGAGACAGGAGAGCAGCCTTCCAATATTTGAGGGGCTGCCCCAGAGAGGAGGAAGAGGGGTCAAGCTATTCTCCAAGGCATCTTTGAAGGCCGGACAAGGAACAATGGATGGAAACTGAACCAGGAGAGATTCAACCTGGAAATAAGGGGAAACTTTCTGACAGTGAGGACAATCAAGCAGTAGAACAGAAGTTGCCTTCGGAAATTGTGGGAGCTTCATCCCTGGAGGCTTTCAAGAAGAGATTGGACTGCCATTTGTCAGATTTAACAGATAATCAGAGTTGGAAGGGACCTTGTAGGTCATCTAGTACAACCCCCCGCCCAAGCGGGGGACCCTACACCATTTCTGACAGATGGCAGTCCAGTCTCTTCTTGAAAGTCTCAAGTGATGAAGCTCCCACAACTTCCGAGGGCAAATTCTGTTCCATGGGTTGATTGTTCTCACTGACAGAAAGTTTCTCCTTATTTCCAGGTTGAATCTCTCCTTGTTCAGTTTCCATCCATTGTTCCTTCTATGGCCTTCAGGTGCCTTGGAGAATAGCTTGACCCCCTTCCTCCTCTCTGTTGCAGCCCCTCAGATTTTGGAAGACTGCTATCCTGTCTCCCCTGGTCCTTCTCAGAATTAGTGCACAAGGATACAGACAGACAGATGAACAGAGTTGGAAGGGGCCTCATAGATCATCCAGACCAACCCCGCCTGTTGTGGCGCACCAGCGGCCAGTGGAGCTGGTGGCAGACTCAGACAGTGAGGAGGTTGGGGAGGAACACGGGCCAGTCCTGGAGTCTGGGGAAGGCTCTGATGAGTTGTCAGAGGCAGAGATGGGGCCAGGGCCCTCCGACAGTTATCAGCTACCTTCAGAGTCGGAGATCAGTGGGGAAGAAGAACAGCTGGAGCCTGTTCCCAGTGTGCTCATGCACAGAGCTGCCAGACGAAGGGAACAGCTGAGGAACAAGGGCCGACTTGGAAGTAAAGCCACAGGTGGACAGTGAATGGCCCCTCCCAAAGGGAATAAAAAGAGGAGTGAAAGGGGAGTGGGGTTTGCAGTTAGTTCAATTCATTAGGGTGAAGACCTGTTCCTGACTCCTTGCTAAGTCATTGCTGCTACAGCATGGCGTTTGGAAGCTATCGGCCTGGCAACTCTCCCAGCCTGATCAAGGTCTGTAGTTGTGCAATCTCAGGAAAGACTGTTTGTCGGGACTTTGCTGGCGAGGAATTCCTTTGAACCTAAATAAAAAGGGCTTTTATCGGGACGAGGAGTTCGGCTTCGTGATCTTGGGAAGAAGCCTAGGCCAGGACGCTGCCCAAGCTGTCTCTCATTCTACCTTCTCGTTTCAAGGTGACGCTCTCCGTCGGGATTCTGCTGTTGCTGATCGGCCTGGCGGCTTTAACCACGGGGTCGGTCCTGCCCTCCAAGTTGGAAGACATTGGGGAAGCTGAGTTTGTGGTGCTGGACCAGCGAGCCGTAGAGTACAACGGTGCCCTGGGCCTCTCCCGAGCCGTCGGGGTGGTGCTGTGTGCCGTTGCTGGGGTGCTGCTGGTCGCCTCGGTGTTGTTGTCCAGGCTGGGCAGAAGGAACCGGACTGGCGGTTCAGGTGAAGATGGGAAGGAAGAGCAGCTGTCTCCCATCTTGCCGGAGAATGGCCCTCATCCGTGGGGTGCCGTCGTCTCAGCGCCCCCTGCCCCTTTCCAAGTCTCCCGGGTACAGGGCGTCCAGCCAAAAAGAGAGGTGTGACTTGAGAGTCATCAAAAGCTCTTAAGGCCCAGCATTTCTCACCTTTCAAGATAGGTGTGGACTTCAATTCCCAGAATTCCCCAGCCCACATGCTTTAAGGAGATGGGACTTCAAT